GTCAATTGGGCTATTAAAAGGTTAGGAGCTAAGAAGGTTAAAGAAACATTCAATTATTATTTTAAGATATTTGAGCTTTATTTCTAATAAGTACAAATTCAATTTATTTTTCTACTTACATGCATATTGGGTTTTAAATTTTCTTGATGATTCTAAAATCCTTATTTTATATGGATTTGAAATATAATAGCAATTAGATATTAATAAGGCCTTACGATAAAAATCAAAAGCTATTATATAAGAATTACATTAGTTTTTCAGTAAATTTAGAATTTTTTTTCTATTTTATTCAGAATTATTTTATTATTTTTTTAGTGTTTCTCATTTTACCTAATATAAATATGATTATTTAACTTATAATTAGTGTTCTTTTAATAATTTAAGATGGATTGATTATTCAGAATATTGTTATGTGTGAAAGAGTTTACTCATATTCTTAGTTTTTCATGGAACTTTCTCAAAAATTTATCAAAGATCAACTCTTTTTGTGACATTCATCCTTCTACCTATAGTTCTTAGTTCGTCATTATTAATTAGTTAGAATTTTATGCACATATCTGCATTTTTTAGTTTATTACAATCGACAGGTAGGGTTCCATCCTTATACCTTTGGTTAGTGGTTCATTATAATTATTAGACCAAGTTTTTTCATTTAATAACTATGATTTTTTTGGTTTAGATAACTATTACGTCGCTTCTTTTCAACTTAATTTTAAATTTCTTAAATTTTTTTTTTCTTATGTAAGAGTTCAAGGGGTTTTACTTTCTGAATTCACATAAACTATACATGTTCATGTTGAAGTAAAAATTCATATAATTATTTAGGAGCATGAAAAGCCTTTGTAATAAAACAACTCACGCCTATTATGAAAAATTTCAAAACAAGTCTCGAAAAACTCAAAAATAGTAAAAACAACTTAGATTCATTGTAATAAAAACCTAAAAATCGAGGCCTATAAAAAATCTGAATTAAAATAATATCAATTTAAACAAGTTTTGAAACAAAAAGGACTAAACCAAGCTGAATTTGGTGGCTTTTAATCAATTCTGGGTTCAAAACCTTAAAAAACTACATTTTCAATAAAGTTGTTTTTGTTTTTTTAAATTAAACTGAATAAAAAAAACTATATTGTCAACTCAAAAAACTTCTAGACTGGTTTTAAAACATAAAATCTAACTTGAAAAGAACTTCTCCAGAGTTGGATCTGATTCAAATCCAACTTATTTTATTACCTTCCATTGATTATTATTAAATGAGAAATTTAAACATGCTTTGTGTGTTTAGCAAAGGAGAACAATGACAGACTTGTATTATGTACTTTTGAGCGTGGAAAAGTCACAAGTCACTAAGGCACGCACTTAGTTGAAAATGAATAAGAAATTTTTAGTGTGAACAAAACAAAAGAAATCATTTAATTAAGTTTATACTTTCCATTCCAAAAAACTTTTAGTAATAATGCTAAAATATTTGATGAAAGATTTGCTCATAAATTATTTTTCAATATGTATAAATTCCATAAGAAAAAATCTTTTTAGATAAAAATTATTTTTATGTGAAAAATTAAATTCTTTAAAGAATTGGTTACATAACTCTAAGTGTAGACATATGAAGTTAGTTTACATTCAAAGAATCTATTTTTCCCTAATTTAACATGGTAAAAAAATCCTTAAAATATCAAATCTTGACATCTATATTAAATTCATTAAATTGTTGTGATCATCGAAATTATTAAAATTATATATACTAGAGATTTTTGAGCTAACACTAATGAAAATGATTCTAACTTTACGGAGTTCCAAACATAAAGAGGATAGAATTCAACACGAGACGAGAACAAAAAAACAAATTAATTAAACAAATAATAATACGATTTAGTTTTTAGTTAAAGAGTCCAGAGATTGTGATTTTTAAAGATAAAAAGATGAATAAGAAAGAGAGTAAATATGTGATCTATGATTTAGTTGAATTTTTTATTTATTAATTTAAATTTTTTTTATTTAAAAAAAAATTATTTTTTAAAAAACACATTATATAAATCTAAATTAAGATTTAAAAAAAAAATTAAAAAATATACTTTATAAATTTAAATAAATAAATAAAATCTCGATTATTTTGAACTCATATAAGAGATACATATTTTAATTATAATTTAAAATTTGTTATTAAGATCTCATGTTACATTTTAAGATTTTATTTATTATATATAAAAATGATTTGAATATTTTATTTTTTAAATTTTTATTTAATAAAATATAAAGTATAATTTCAAGAAGTAACAGGTAAAGTGAAATATAATCAAATCATAAGAGGTTTTTGGCAATTATCTCTTAGTAAAAGAAGAAACCTGGAATGCGGATTCTTCAAAAAAAAAAAAAAAGGTAAAAAGTGAAGAGTGACTGTATGAGTCTTTAAATGAAAAGAAATAAGGATAAAACTAGAATACTAAAAAAATAAAAAGAGAGAGAAATTAAAAAGAAAATGAATATGTTTTTTCTTTTTCTTTTTCTTTTTAAATAAAAAAGCACAAGGAGGTGTGGAAAAGCATGTTTAATACCAGTTTCTCGAACCTACTGGAATTTAGATAACGAGACAGATGTTTTTGTCATCACCGTCCAAATTTCCATGTCATCGTTGACGTATGACAAATTGATAATGCCCTAAGCTTGCTATGCAAGTAACTTAAAAGGAACCATCCCAGTGTGTCCTGATAAATAGCATTTGGAAGCAGTAATTGTTCTAGCCTTTTGAGGAGTTCATCACTTAACAATGGCCAACGAAGACGTTTCGCACGACCTTTCCGCGCTTCTTTCGTCGGAAGAGAGGGACTTTCTCATCCGTAACAATGGTGACCAGGTACTGCTTTTAGCTTATGGATTTCTCTGGTCTTATGCGATCTACTTCTACTTGTCTTGTTAAACTTGCAGGTTTTTCTCGTAAATAAGATGGATATCATGTTTAAATTTGACTGCGAGCCTGTTTATGACCAATATCAAGAGCTTTTATGATTAAGAAAAGCCTCAATTTTTGTTTACCCTCTTAATTTAAGGGCTAATGATTTAGCTCGACACTAATTTTAGGTTAAGGTCAGCAATTTGGTTGGGAAGATCGTCGGATTCTATTTCTCTGGTTCGTGGTGCGGGCCGTGCCGTAATTTCACTCCGTTGTTGGTAGAAGTCTATGAACAGCTATCATCCAAAGGGGACTTTGAGGTGGTCTTCATTTCTTCTGACAGAGACGATGAATCCTTCAACACATACTTCTCCGAAATGCCATGGCTTGCTATTCCCTTCTCCGATACGGAGACCCGCAAACGTCTTAAGGAAGTGTTCAAAGTAAGAGGGATCCCTAATCTTGTCATTTTTGATACGAATGGCAAGGTTTCCTGCGATAGTGGAGTCAGCACGGTCAAGGAACATGGCGTGGATGGGTATCCGTTCAACCTTGATAGACTGAATTTCCTTAAAGAGCAAGAAGAGAACGCTAAGAAGAATCAAACCATAAGCTCTATATTGGTTTCCAGCTCACGTGATTATGTGATTTCAAATGATGGAAAAACGGTAGATGTTTCATTCAATTAGCTAGTTTTGAACTTGAATTGATGATGCCTAATTCACATTATGGCAGATCCCCGTGTTGGACCTTGAAGGAAAATTGGTTGGCTTGTATTTTTCAGCCCATGCTCGTAGGATGTGCCGTGAGTTCACTCCTAAACTAGTGGAATTGTATAAGACGCTCACGGAAAAAAGAGAGAACTTTGAAGTAGTCCTAATATCTCTAGACGACGAAGAAGAAAACTTCAAAGAGAGTTTTGAGACAATGCCTTGGTTGGCTTTGCCTTTTAAGGACAAGAGCTGCGAGAAGCTAGTGCGGTATTTTGAACTTAGAACCATTCCTAATCTTGTCATAATTGGCCAAGATGGGAAGACTTTGAACCCAAATGTAGCTGAACTCATCGAAGACCATGGAATTGAAGCCTACCCATTTACACCGGAAAAGCTTGAAGAGCTAGCTGCAATTGAAAAGGCAAAACTGGAATCGCAGACGCTTGAGTCAGTTTTGGTTAACGGGGAAAATGATTTTGTGATTGACAAAAGTGGCTCCAAGGTAATTTTCTTGTTGTATGCTAACCTCGCATGTTGTTATTGCGTTACTTTCAATAACTTTCTTATCATCACGAATTGAATCCCTTAGCAAAGGCATTTTTTTTCATTCAAATGGTTTGTTCTTGATTAGGTCCCAGTGTCTGAACTAGTTGGAAAGAACATTCTTCTTTACTTCTCAGCTCAATGGTGCCCTCCTTGTCGTGCCTTTTTACCCAAGCTAATTGAAGCATACCACACAATTAAAGCAAAAGACAATGCATTTGAGGTGATCTTCATCTCAAGTGACAGCGATCAATCCACCTTTGACGAGTTCTATTCAGAAATGCCTTGGTTAGCCCTTCCATTTGGTGATGAAAGGAAACAAATCCTGGGTCGGAAATTCAAAATTGAAGGCATTCCTGCAGCTGTAGCGATTGGCCCAAGTGGCCGGACCATTACCAAGGAAGCTCGGATGCACTTGACAGCTTACGGGGCAGATGCTTTTCCATTTACCGAGGAACATCTAAAGCAATTGGAGGAGCTTGAGGAAAAGGCAAAGGGGTGGCCAGAGAAAGTGAAACACGAACTTCATTGGAGAAGTTAGCAAAGCCAACAGCTACACCAAGACCACTAGCTCCTTCCCCTCGCGGAACAGGAAAAGATTTCCGTAAATTTAACGCTTTTCTATTTGCTTAATTCTCGTGACACCGTGTTATTTGATGCCTCATAAGAACGAAAATATCATCCATGTGATACATCCACAATTCAAGCAAGCACACTGCCAAGAAATTCGGCGACAACAATCAAGCACGCTGCCAAAAAGTCTGAACCCATTGAAAAAACCTTCGCTTCTATGGCCCATTAATTATGTTCAGCTTATTTACTTCTTCATGTTCAAATGCATGTTTCACGTTCTCGCAGTTTCTTTTTGCCACGTTCCATAGCTTCCCACCACTGAATCTCATGTGCTTTAAATTTGCCTTCGCCATGACAGCCACAAAACCTTATCAACTGTTGCAGTCTGAGAAGGCATATTCTGAAATCACTTACTATCTCTGGCCATCTCGTGCATGGACCCCTCTACTACGGAGGAAGGACACTGCTGGGCTCTTACCTTAAGACGGGGGAAGGACACTGTTGGGCTAGTATAGACCCTGCAGGTTTTGGCACAGCTGCAGAAAACAAGCTGGAACTCTTGCATCACTATTGATAGTGATGGATTATAAATAAGGTTTTAGGTTTGGTAATTTGGCATCCTCACGCACAAAACAATTCTGAATGGTTGGTAATTTAGAGAAAGAATCGCAGTCAATTATTAAGAAAATTGGCTCCATAGACTCTTTTAGTCAATTATTTTTTAGTAGTTTAATCTTACCCTTAATGTTTTCCATGGAATCTATTATTATAGTCTTTGACAGCGACTGTGCCAAGACAAGGAATATCAAGATAGGTTGGCTAGCGGGTGGAAAGGCTTGTTTCTTTCTATTTTATCTGGGTTCGAGTCCTAGCATGTATGTTTATCATCCCCACGGTGTCTTATATGTTTACTGAATTTGCAGGATATTCAGTGGGCTGTATGGAATCTATTATTATAGTCTTTGACAGTGACTGTGCCAAGACAAGGAATATCATGATAGGTTGTCCAAAAAAATCTCTTATTAATATTATAAAAAGAATATTATATTTTTATTTTAAAATAAAATAAAAATTAAATGATATCTAATAAAATAATATTTCATATATATTCTTAATAATTTAAGTATTTACTAAAATAATATCCTTGATGTGTTTTTAAATAAATAATTTCAATGAAATAAAATTAAAACTCAAGGATAAAGATTGAAAAAAAAAAGAGGCTAAAAACAAGCCATGTTTGTGGGGCCAAGTGACTCGGCATGCTTATCCAAAAGATGAAAGAGCCATTTTATTTTTTCTTTGATGGATGACATGGTATTTGTCTTTTTTTTAATTTTTTTCTTTGATGGATGACATGGTATTTGTTTTTTATTATTTTTTTTTTAAATAAAACAGATGACAATTATTTGCTTGCTTTATTTTTTATCATATGGTTGAAGAATGATGACAATTATTTGCTTGCTTTATTTTTATTTTTTTCACATCATTTGCTTCTTCTTTTTTTATCATACAAAAGTGGTTGAAGAATTGAGTTGGAGTTTTTTATTTAAAATTTTAGTTTTAATATATTTTAATCTAAAAACACCTTATAGATACTTTTAGATTATCTTTAAACTAATCAATTACCTTAAAAGAAATTCTAGAATAATTTTAAAACACAAAATTTAACCTATTTTTGGCAATATAAAGCTTAAAAACATTATGGTAGCATTCTTCTTGTCAAGAATAACACTTTGACACACATTTTAGCTATTTTTGCAAACAAAACCTTGTCAGTGTATGTGTTTCTTTCTCCTTGCTATTTTCAATGATTTTTAAAAAAAATTCAAAGACTGAAATATGATTAAAATTGATTTTTGTATCCGAACATAAATTTTCAAAATAAAATTGTGGGAAATGAACATTTATCAAATAAAAAACGCTTAAATTCTTGCTAACTGTCAATTTTGGCCTCTCAAGTCTTAAATTTTTGTATGTAATAAAATAGGATTTTATTTTGTAAAATACAACATCACCCTAAATGTAAAAAAATTTAATTTTTCAAAAAAACATTATAGAAGACCAATCAAAACCAATCAATAAGTTCAAATTCTCGATTAATGAAATGTCAAAAAAAAAATTAAAAGTGTTTGATGACTCCAATGAAAAAACTTTCAAAAATAAATAAATTAAAACACTATTTCAACCCGTGATATTTTGAGTTTTTGTCCGCAGTGCAACAACACTAAACTAACCACATCTCTTAGTTTTATATTTAATTTAATGGTTTTATGATTCACAAATGAGGGATTTTTATTTTATTTTTTTAGTTTAGGTTTTATTTTTATAAAATTAATTAAAAAATAGATTAGGATATCTAGTGGATACCCACGGATGAAGAAAGTAATCTACTTAACCTGATTTAATCAGGATAAAGTTGAAAGCGGATAATGAATTTGAACATTTTAGAGTGGAAATTCATTAACTTCTCTCACTTACAATTAATTGTCTAATTTAATTACGTTTGGAGTGTTCGATAAAGTACAATGACATATGTGTATGGTGCGCTTTTGAGAGTGGGAAAGTCAAGACTTATTACAGAGTATAATGACATATGGGGTCTCTTTGTTGAAATATAGAGTCATGATGTGGCTCAATTACACAATATAATTTTATTTATAATTATTAAATATATACAATTAAAATAAAAAAAATTAAGAGTTTTATTATTGAAAAACTCTATTTTTGGAAGTATAACAAGAACTCCATCAAGTTTGGATTTTAGCCTGTCTATTAAATTTGATTATTATCAAGTCATATTTTATAGAAAATAGATTAGGATAAAAATATAATCCAGAATTCTCTTGATATTTTTTAGAATTTAATTAACATGTGAATTATATTATACTGAGGTTTGTGTTATTTTTTATTTTTTTTTTAGACTTGGGAAGCTTTGGATGACTAGAGCTGGAGGTAAATTTTCATGATTTATTTTTCTCAATATATATATATATATATATATATATATTACATTATTGGTAGTGGAGGTATAGGTTTTATTTTACATTCTTGGCCTTCATCCGTCCTAAGCTTCCTATGTAAGATGCAATGTATATAGTTTGTTTGTTCATTCATTTCAACTATGCTTTACATATGATGATTGATTTAGAAGCACGTGTCCATGCGAATACCACTTCAGTAGACCTACGTCATCATGTCTTCGTCATCACCCGACGCCAGCCAAGTCTTGAAATTGACTAATTAGAATAGTTATTTCCTAGGCCGGGCGTGCACGTAATTTAAAGGAGCCTTAGCCTGGAAGTTCCATTACATGGCACTGAAATTGGCAATTGTTCTAGCCTTTTGAGTAGTTCATCACATAGCTAGCTATGGCCACCGAAGACGTTTCGCTCGAGCTTTCAACGCTTCTTTCTTCAGAAGAGAGGGACTATCTCATCCGCAACAATGGTGATCAGGTACTGCTTTTAGCATATGAGTTTCTCTGATCTTATTCAAGTCTACTTCTTCTTGTCTTATTATAAGTTGACGTCATATTTATATGAACTTGTAGGTTTTTCTAGTAATTAAGATGAATATCATGTTTAAATTAGACTGCAAGCCTTGCTTAAGAACAAATTTATGACCAATTTCTGAAGCTTTTATGATTAAGAAAAAGCTCCTCTTTTTTTCTCTTTTTTTTTTTGTTGCTTCTCTCAATGGCAAGAGAAAGAAACCATGAAAAAGATTTTGATTCGTTAAGGGCTGGTATTTTTTTCTGATAATTTTCGAAACTAATTTTTAGGTTCCGGTCAGCAATTTGGTTGGGAAGATCGTGGGAGTCTATTTCTCTGGTTCGTGGTGCGGGCCGTGCCGTAATTTCACTCCGTTGTTGGTAGAAGTCTATGAACAGCTATCATCCAAAGGGGACTTTGAGGTGGTCTTCATTTCTTCTGACAGAGACGATGAATCCTTCAACACATACTTCTCCGAAATGCCATGGCTTGCTATTCCCTTCTCCGATACGGAGACCCGCAAACGTCTTAAGGAAGTGTTCAAAGTAAGAGGGATCCCTAATCTTGTCATTTTTGATACGAATGGCAAGGTTTCCTGCGATAGTGGAGTCAGCACGGTCAAGGAACATGGCGTGGATGGGTATCCGTTCAACCTTGATAGACTGAATTTCCTTAAAGAGCAAGAAGAGAACGCTAAGAAGAATCAAACCATAAGCTCTATATTGGTTTCCAGCTCACGTGATTATGTGATTTCAAATGATGGAAAAAAGGTGGATGGTTCATTCAGTTAGCTAGTTTTGAAATTGAATTGATGATGCCATCATTCATTTTTTTGCTATTTTTACTGATGATGCCATAATTTACACTTTTGCTATCTATAATGGCAGAACCCTGTGTTGGACCTTGAAGGAAAATTGGTTGGCTTGTATTTTTCAGCCCATGCTCATAGAATGTGCTGTGAATTTACTCCTAAACTAATGGAATTATACAAGAGGCTCAGGGAAAAAGGAGAGAACTTTGAAGTAGTCCTAATATCTCTGGACTTTGAGGAAAAACACTTCAAAGAGAGTTTTGAGACAATGCCTTGGTTGGCATTGCCGTTTGAGGACAGGAGCTGCGAGAAGCTAGCGCGGTATTTTGAACTTAGAACCATTCCTAATCTTGTCATAATTGGCCAAGATGGGAAGACTTTGAACCCAAATGTAGCTGAACTCATCGAAGACCATGGAATTGAAGCCTACCCATTTACACCGGAAAAGCTTGAAGAGCTAGCTGCAATTGAAAAGGCAAAACTGGAATCGCAGACGCTTGAGTCAGTTTTGGGTTACGGGGGAAATGATTTTTTGATTGACAAAAGTGGATCCAAGGTAATTTTTTTGTTCTGTGCTAACATCGCATGTCGTTATTGCATTACTCTTAATAACTTGCTTATTATCTCGAATTGAATTCATTAGCAAAGGTATTTTTATCATTCAAATGGTTTCCTCTTGATTAGGTCCGAGTGTCTGATCTAGGTGGAAAGAACATTCTTCTTTACTTCTCAGCTCAATGGTGCCCTCCTTGTCGTGCCTTTTTACCCAAGCTAATTGAAGCATACCACACAATTAAAGCAAAAGACAATGCATTTGAGGTGATCTTCATCTCAAGTGACAGCGATCAATCCACCTTTGACGAGTTCTATTCAGAAATGCCTTGGTTAGCCCTTCCATTTGGTGATGAAAGGAAACAAATCCTGGGTCGGAAATTCAAAATTGAAGGCATTCCTGCAGCTGTAGCGATTGGCCCAAGTGGCCGGACCATTACCAAGGAAGCTCGGATGCACTTGACAGCTTACGGGGCAGATGCTTTTCCATTTACCGAGGAACATCTAAAGCAATTGGAGGAGCTTGAGGAAAAGGCAAAGGGGTGGCCAGAGAAAGTGAAACACGAACTTCATACCGAGCACGAGCTGATTCGTACTAAACGCGTAGCATATATTTGCCATGGCTGTCG